GGGGGGGGGGGGGGGGGGGGGGTGCGTCTCCAAGGGCCCTTCTAGGAAAGCCTCACGCAGTCTCCGTGGTGCCGGGTCATCCGAGCTTAGTCACGTGGCTGGTGAAAGCAGTCGCGGGGGAGGAGGGAGGAGAAATGGGCGGGAGGCCGGGGGGATAGCTGGACACCCGGCGACCACGGGGTTGTCATGGAGCCGCGGGGCCGGGCTCGCGCATGCGCTACCTGACCTGCGGGGCCGGTCGTGGAGCTGCGACCCCGGCCCTGGGTAAGAAAGAGAGGGCCGGGCTTGAGGGGAGGGGAGCAGAGATAGCGAGGTGGGAGAGGGTTTGGGCGAAGACCGTGGGGAAGGGAGGTGGGAGTAGAGGAGAGAAGAAGGGGAGCGAGGTAGGCGAGAGGGAGCACCGGGACTTTCGGGGGGACGGAGCACCAAATTGTGGGGGCAGAGGGTGGTGCGCCCCTCCCCCAGCTAATCGGTTTTGCCGTGATAGGTGGGGCCTGCGTGGGACAGGCAGTCGCGGGTGAGGAGGGGGCTGTGTGAGGAGCGAGTGGGCCCTGGTCTAGCCGTGGGGACAACAGCCAGCTGGGCGTCTGGGTGGGGAGAGAGCCTGGAGGCCAGCCAGGCTGTGAGCAGGGGGCCAGGGAATGGGCAGGTGAGTGGGCACGAGATCTGAGGACCTGGTGAGGGTCTTAGGCCTTCAGTTTGGGGCTGGGGGAGTGCCCTGCTCTGGGCCTGGGCACAGGTGTGCTGTCTTTTCTCGAGACCGGCCATCATCCACTTTGCTTGTTATTTGCCCAGAGTGCCAGCTCGCCAGGAGTGGTGCCAGGGATAGGGGTGTGGGAGAGAAGGTGAGAAGTGCCAGGTAAGGGGTTAGGGGTTAGTGGGTGGGTTGGGGGGAGCTCTGATCCGGGCCCAGGTACAGGCCAGAGCCAGACTCTCTGTTATTGCCCAAGTCCTGGCAGTACGTGTTGCCTGGGCATTTGCCCTGGGAGGCTGGTGGTATGCCAGTCACAGCACAGTACTAGGGTCTGCCCAGTTCTTCCCTGCTGAGCTGGCAGGCTGGTGGATGCCTGGAGGGCGCACATGCTGTCTGACACAGATGCAGCGTGGGCTGGTGCGAATGGGTAGGTGGGCACTGTCACTGTGAACTCTTTGCAGTGGGGGATTTGAGAAAGTTCTCTAATCTGATCTCCCCTTGGAAAGGTGAGAATGGAGAGAGCCATACCTGGTTTTAAACATAGGAAATTGTTTGGAATCGGGGTTCAGGATCTTTGACTTGAATTTTCTGCCAAGTTGGAGAATGGAATGAATGTGATGGGGAAGATGAAAGTTGGAGATTTAGATGGATGGGGTTTTTCCACTGTTAAAATACACAGACATTCTCCCAAAATGGTATCTTCGAATATGCAGACCAAAAGAAAATGACTTCAGAGAAAACCTAGTAATGTGTTTATAGTTCTAACTGGTATTACTAATGGTTTTCTGGGTGGTAAAGTCTTTGTTTTCTGTGGCCTTATCACTTTATTGTATTTAAGCCTCTGCTTGGGCTTCTGCCTCACACCTCTGTCCAGGCATGCATGTTGTACACGTGACACATTTTAAAGGGATCTTGAACTCTCAGGAATGTTGCCAAGAATCCATAAAATGAGAGATCTAAAAGCAGTATTTCAGGTGCTTTCCTTGTAACCCTTGGGTCTCCTTTTCACTACAAGCTCAAATCTCCACAGACTGTGGATTAGATCAACCTTTAATTTGGATGGTGGATTTGTCCCTGAAGTTTCATTTTTACAATAAGATGTAGATCAGTTATCTGTTTTCTGCAGTGCACCCGACCTGCAAGTTAGATCTTGAGGTGACCATGGCGGGTGACAAATAATTAGACTCAAATGTAAGAAGTATAAAAACAAAAGAGTCAAGTGCTGTGGAGCACTTGCTAGAATTTTATCTTATACCTATTTATATGAACCTATATATTTATTGATTCTCTTTCTATTATGAGTGTTATGTTTGTTTGTTTGTTTGTTAGGGCAGCTGGCCAGTATGGGGGATCTGAATCCTTGACCTTGGTGTTACAAGGCTGTGCTCTAACCAACTTAGCTAACTGGCCAACCCACCTTATGAGTTTTAGTGTGTACTATCCTCTCCGTGAAACTTTTCGATGATGTGATGTGTTACATATACATGCATGAAAGGCTCAATTAGGGCCAATTCTAACCATTTTGAAGCTTAAATTAGTCCTTCTAATGTGGAGTGAAGTACATGGGGTCTGAGACATTTGTAAAGCATTGTTAGTGTCTTCCAGTCTGTGCCAGGAAGCAGAGATGACACATTGGGTAAGAGCTGAGTAACCCATTTTCAACTCCTGGTCAGCTTGTTAGCACCTAACTTTATTGTAAAACAATACTAAAGAGGAAAAAAAAAATCAAACAACTTCTTGAGGTTTTCAGACTTTGTCATTTGTGTGGCCTTGAGTTTGAGAGCTCCGGTAGTAAATGCCATCACTCTGCCTGTTTCAGCCCTGTCGAGGGCTTCATATGGTGCTGCGTATGAGCGGGTCTATTGTTCATGACTAATTAACAGCCTCAGCCCACTCCCAGGAAGGAGGTGCTGCTCCTTTCAAAGAAGAAAGGTTGGAGAGGGATGTAGGTCTTCATTCTCCATCCACGTGAGCCTCCCTGGCTGGGATGCTAAGGCTTTCTGCTGCTTAAAGAGAGCTTTACTGAGGACAGAGGCTTTTATATTTTTAATCATTTTTACACCCAAAATAGTCAATTTACCATTCTAAATTCAATTATGCATTCTTTATTTCCAACTGCCACCAGCTCCCTAGGATCTAAAATTTTAGCATCTGTTCTCCTTTTAACTGGATAGGGGCAGAAAGGTGTGGTACCTTTTGTCACCCGTCATAAGGATCACAGCCAACACTCCCATAACAAAAGACAGGTTAACAAGACAAAGGCATACCAGATTTATTTAGTAAAGTTTTGTGTGATATGAGAGCCTTAAGAAATGATCCAAACACTTAGGGAAAATTATTTTTATGTTCAGATTTGATGAGGAATGGACAGGTGTGTAGAAATGTGATTGTACAAAAAGGGTATGATCTAATGGTAATTGACTGAGGGGAAACCCAGCAAGACCTGTGTGTTCAGATTTTTGTTGGCCTCTCTTGTGTGGCATTTCTTCTTCCCCAGTATAAGGCAGGACCCTTTCTGAAATGAGAGTTTATGATTTACTATCAGACAGGGTAGGTCAGAGAAGTTCGTTATGGCCAGCTCCTATGCAAAATGGCAGAGGAAGTTTAGGGTAATATGTCTAGTTTCTATGACCCACCTTGGGGAAGAGGAATTCTAGTTTCTATGGCCTGTCTTGGGGGAGAAAGGGACATAGGAGATAGAAGGACAGGAGAAGGTAGACAGAGACTTTGCTTCTGAGGCCCTTCCAATGTTCTTTAGTTCAAAGTACTCAGCATGCCAAAGCTCTGTACTTTGAGGTATTGTTTTCTGAGCCCCAACAACCAATTTCTCAGTATTTCAGTATTTTGATTCCATGATCAGTGTTGCCCTGCAAATTTTCAATAAGCCAGAATAAACTCCTGGGTATTTTCTGTAGCTCTGTTAACTACACTTTAATAATAATAGCAAGCCTTTTTTATTGTCTTGTCACAAGGATTGTAGAAGACTAAACTGGGATGCTTTATCTAAAATAAAAGATAATAAATAATTCATGTTTAGTAAGATAATGTAAAACTTTGTCAGGTTCTTAATCGGTTGCAACTAGCACAAGCTACCTTCCTAGTCTAAATCAATAGCCTGGTCAGACTTGAATTAGTGTGAATGCCCATCCACAAGCTACTTCCATTCTGAAGAAGGCTCCCATTCATTTTTGGACAGTATTATTTTAGGAAAACTACGCTATGTACATTTGCTGAGTTTCACACAAAAGGATCCTGATTTAATTAGAGATAGTTTTACATTTAAGTCTACTTTTTAGATGGGGCTGTCTGTGCTATCAGATGTCATAGCCGTCAAATAGAGAGACGTTGCTTTTGCATAGTGCTCTGTGAGATGTGACAGTGCCATTGTTTATCTTTTATGCACATAGGATTAAATGTGTGACCTGTGGAAGAAAAGTGTTTGATTTGACATGAAATCAATGAGGAAGCCAGCTCCCTTAAATGAGTCAGATATGGGACAAAAAAAATTTTTTTTTCTTGAAATTGTTTAAAGTTCACTCTCATTCAGACCAGTTTGTGTTCCCTTTGTCCACTTCTACTGTATGCAAAGTATGAGCAGGAGGATTGCTCAAGGATGCTCAAAAGCATCCTTGTGTTCTATTTAATTTTATTTTGAATCCTTCCTCTCTTTCTTGAATAGCTGTTCTTCACTAGATCCTGTATTAGCACAAATGTTCAGACTTGGCACTTCAGGATATTCCAGATGCAGTGCTCTTTGGTAGGGAGCTCATGTTTCTCTCCCACTCAGGACAACAGGATGGAGTCACGAGTGGATTGTAAGTTAAAACATCACCAGACTTTGCTTATACCTACCCAGTTTTATTATTATGATCGTTTTCCTTGTTGGATCCCTATTCTCTTTATCCCTGCAGTATCCTTTGTGTTCTTACCATGATGAAAAGTTCTCAGCCTCTGTTCGCCCTTTGAAGGGCTGATTTGTCTCATTCTCGCACTGTTAGCCTAGGTCTGGATCTGCTATGGACTGTGTCACGGGAGCGAATCTAGACTTCTCTCCTGGGTCCCAGTGTTACATGTGACTGCCTCCCCAGCATCTCCACTTGGATGACTAATAGTTACCTCAGTTACAAGACCAAAATTGAACTAGCCACACCACCCTGTCCCACCCCACTCAACTCCTTTCTGTGCTCTTCTTGGGCTCCCTAGCTTCGGGAATAGTACCACCATCTACCCCCAACTCCCATACAATAACCAAGTCCCATCAGGTCAGCTGCCATGTTTCACTTCTTCCCAGCTCCACTGCCACCATCTTAATTCACCTGAACTGCTATGGTAGCGTCTGAACAATCTCAATGCCACTGTCACCTCTTTCAGTCCAGCATCCGAAATGCTTTTAAAATACAAATCTGATCATGTTGGTCTTCTGGTTAAAATCCTTCTGTGGCTTCCTATTGCTCTTAATATTCAGTCTTTCCAACATGGATTCCAAGGCACTGCCTGTCTGTCCCCCACTACCCACCTAGCGTCAGGGCATGGTATTCTACTCCTCTGCACTGTCCTGCCTCCCCGGCCTTTCATGTCTTTGAATGTGCCAAGCTCCTTGCTCCATTAGGGCCTTCACACTGCCTGGAACACACCTGCATACCCCATCCATCACCTAACTCCTACTAACTACTCATCCTCCAGATTCCAGCTACGTGGCACTTCCTCAGTCTATTACCCCTCCCCTTCACAGCTCTTATCAAAATAGTCGTTTTGTAATTACTTCATTAATATCTGCCTCTCTTTCTAGATCACAAACTCTAAGAAGGAGGTAATCATGACTATTCTGTTCACTCTTTATCCCCAGTCCTAGCACAATGCCTGATTCACAGTGAGCACTCAATAAATACTTTTAAATGACTGAACATAAACTTATCTGAGCCTCAACTTCCTCCTCTGTAAAATGGGATAGTGTCGGGCTAGGGCTCACAGACCCTTCAAACCCGTTGTACAGACTGGGTCACAAACCCCTCACTTGCAGGTCCACGGGCTAGGTAATAGGAAAAAGGTCCTGGGAGCCGTGGGTAAAAGTTAATAGGCTTTATTCTGATGCAAGCTCAGGTAGCTAGCAGCAGCCACCCTAGTGGCCTCCCGGGGTGTGCCGAGGATGCTGGGGATCAGAGCTGCATGTCCTTTATACTTCGCGAGTCAGGTAACCAAGGAACTCCTGAGCACACGTGCACATATTTACGTTAAACAGGTTAGGTCATGCTTGGCAAGATTCTGAACATCTGAGGGATCCTGAGCATTTATATTCTAGTTTTCCTTACAAATAGCAACTGAGGAGGACATTATAAGGCTCAAGTGAGAGAACATTAACAGCAATAAATGTTATGGACTTCTATATAAGCATTTTATCATATGTGATCTTATTTATGCATAAAAGTTTTTTAAGCCAAAAAGTGGCATGCATATGTAAGGAGTTATTTTTACTCTTTTTTTTTTTAAAGATGACCGGTAAGGGGATCTTAACCCTTGACTTGGTCTTGTCAGCACCACGCTCACCCAGTGAGCTAACTGGCCATCCCTATATGGGATCCGAACCCGGGGCCTTGGTGTTATCAGCACCACACTCTCCTGAGTGAGCCACGGGCCGGCCCTTACTCTGCTTAATACCTCATCCAAAGAACCGAGAGTTTATTTTGAGAAAATCTACACTATGGGAGGTGACACTAGGTCAGGAGCCTGCAAATGTATACTAGGAAAGCAAGCCTTGTTGGTAGGTGTCTCCTCCCCTCCCCCCTCTCCCCAGGGATAAGGGTCAGTTGATTTGGTTACCCATTCCAGAAAGCCTAATCAAATGTGCCTTTGTTAGTGGTTTACAAAGTTTCCACTGAATATGGTGTGTGTGTCATGAATTTGTAATGGAATTAGAGGGCAGCCAGAGGATTGCGAATCTCCTTTTGGGTGGAAACCATTCTGTTCAGTAAGCTTGAAGCTTTTGTCAATTGAGACTTCTGAGAAAATATAGCTGGTGTGGGCGAGGCCGGTGTCCTTTGCCCTTGCTCTGTTCCCTATTTGAATCACCTGTTTCAGCTCTCTGGGCACTGACTTCTTATGTAATTGTTGTTTTTCATAGGGCAATCTGGTTGAAAAGAGTACGGATGAACCTGCTGCCAGCCTAGTAAGAAATGGAGAGGAAAAACCCATCCAGAGAGAGCCCCAGAAGACTCTCGGCCAAACTAGGCAAAGGCACAGAGATGAAAAAAGTGGCTCGTCAACTTGGCATGGCGGCTGCCGAGTCAGATAAGGACTCTGGATTTTCAGGTTTAAAATATCTTATCCTTTCTGCATTGTAAGGAATGGTTTGTCTGAAAAAGTTTCTACCTAAAATTCATTTGCCTGATAAGGATGGGAAGCTTTCACACACAGAACAAGTAACTACCTGATTTCTTCAAATGGCAATTCTGATGCCATACGGCAGGGTACCCATTGTGGGGTTAGTTCTGAAAGAATGATTTGACATCTTTTTTCAACTTTAAATCTTACATTTCCAACTGTTGCAAGTGGTTCCTGGAAAAAATATTTAAATACTCATAATTCTGTTGTTTTAGCTTTTTTTCATGGGAATAGTTGCATTATAGGGGAAAAAATACTACTGCATGTTGCTACCATGTAACAAATTTGAAGACTGCCAGTTAAAAGTCGTGTATAATTTGTTAAGATAACTTTTTTGTAACACCAAGGTCAAGAGTTTGGATCCCCTTACCGGCCAGCTGCCCATCAAATGAAAAAAAAAAGATAACTTTTTTGCTAAGAAAGTAATTTTGCTGTGTTTAAACCTCCCTCCCTCCATCCCTCCCCAGATATAAAATATCTGTGTATTGTATATTTGGACTCTTGAGTCACCTGGCCCTGTTCTAAACTTGAATATCTATTAGAGACAAGAAAGTAGAACAGTTTTCTTTACTAGTTTGTCTTAAACCTTACCTGAACGGGCTAGCTGCATCCTCAGTGAATATTAATTTTGTGCTGAGGCTCTTTTTTATTTCCAGGTCTGAGAGTAGTGGCTTAAATAAAGCTCTAGTGTCAACATTTTGGGCCCAGGTAATGCACAGGGGTGATGCCAGGTGATTCTGGCTGAGTCAGCATCCTGAGAGTGAAGCCCTCTCTAGAGGAGGACATGTTATCCAAGCTCACAAAGACAAATTGAGCCGTTTTGTTGATTAATTTATGGTGAGAAATGCAGCTGTTAGGAAAACCAGAACTCTCCCATTCTTAGATTGGTGTGTCTTCTCCCTGTAGGCATGCTGCGTGAGAGGCCGAATTATAAATAGACTGTTGCTCAGAGAGGAACAGAGCACTGACCAAGGGATTAGAATAAGAGGAATTAGTTGCCTACCCAGTGCCAGGACAGTCCAGGGAGGGGCAGGCCAACCTGTAGCCCTTGGGATTTTTCTTCTCTATTTCTTAGCAGTGGTTCCCAGGCTTGCCTCATTATAAGGCTCGCCTGAGGCATTTATTAAAAATACTGATCACCAGACCCCTCTCCTGGAGACTCTATAAAGGGTCTGTAGGAGGGCCTAGTATATGGAACAGAGACACTTGTTTGTTTGTTTTTTTAACAAGTGTCTCGTATGATCAGACAGGTTTGGGAAATAGGTCTTGTGTCTCTTTTTCTTTTAACATTCATGTTTGCTTTTTGTCTGTTTTTCATATCATGAAGGTAATACATGCTCATTGTAAAAGCTTAGAAATTTGGAAAAGTGCAAAGAAGAAAATGAACATTATTCATAATCCTACCATTTGTTATTCCCAATACTGTTGACATTTTGGCACTTCTTCCAGCAACTTCAACTTTGTGAGGCCAGTTGTTTAAGAAATATTGTACCCTTCAGACGTAAAATGGTATTGAAAATGACCAAACTAATTTCGTCCCAGGAAGTGGCCCCAGTGAATGCCTCCGGTCACTCCTGGGCCAGGTGCCTGTGATTTTGTTACTGTCTGAGTTATCATTCGAGTTACCTTGGACTGTGGTGAAATTTGCAAAATGAAGATAGTTTTTTCCATTTTAACGATTTTTTCCAATTTTATATTTTGAAAATTTTAAATCTGTACAAAAATGAATGAATACCTTACTTTTCTTTTAGATCCACTGGATATTATCATTTTTCCGTATTTGCTTTATCTCTCTATGCACACATGCATGCACACATGTACACTAGATGAACTATCTTAAAATAGGAGTTGTAAGCACTTGACATTTCACCCCTAAATACTTCAGAACGATCTCCTAAAAACTAGGACATTTTTCTATATAATTGTAATGTCATACCCATAACACTGATACAGTTATCATTAGCTACAGTCCATACTCAGATTTTCCCCATTGTTCTACTAATGTCCTTTATAGCTGTTTGTCCTTTTGTCTATTTGTTTTGGATCCAGGATTCAATTGAGGATTGTGCATTGCATTTAGTTGTCCTGTCTTTTTGGTCTTATTTAATGTAGAACAGCTCCCCCATCTTTCCTTTCTTTTCCTTTCCTTTCCTTTCTCCTTTCCTCTCTTCCCTCTTCCTTCTTCCCTCTTCCCCTCCTTTCTTTTCCTTCTTCTTCTTCTTTTTTTTTTTTTTTTTTTAATAAAAGATGATCAGTAAAGGGCTCTTAACCCTTGACTTGGTGTTGTCAGCACCACGCTCTCCCGAGTGAGCTAACGGACCAGCCCTTTCTTTTCCTTCTTCTTCTTCTTTTTTTTTTTTTTTTTTAATAAAAGATGATCAGTAAAGGGATCTTAACCCTTGACTTGGTGTTGTCAGCACCACGCTCTCCCGAGTGAGCTAACGGACCAGCCCTTTCTTTTCCTTCCTGATGACATTGATATCTTTGAATGAGTTAGGCCTGTTGTTTTGTGGGACATCCCACATTGTGGATCTTCTAGTAGTTTCCTCATTATTAGAATCAGGATACACATTTTTGACCAAAATACTACATTGTTGATGTTGTATCCTTTCCATTGCAACACAGAAGGAGACTCGTAAGTTGGTCTTAGTTTTGGTGATGCTCTGGTCGATCACTTGGTTAGGGTAGTGTGTACCAGATTTCTTTACTGTAAAAGTACCCTTTTCTCTTTGTAATTAATAAGTAATTTATGGGATGATACTTTAAGATCATGTGACTGTTCTGTTCCCCAACAAACTCTTGATCATAGTTAGTATTCATTTATGATCCTTGCCTATCAGTTACTACATTCATGGTTTCAAAGTGGTGATCTTATAATTCTGTCATTCTTTTTACCTTCTTAGCTGACGTTCTTCTGTAACGAAGCGTGTTCCCTATTCCACCCCCTCTTTTGAATATCACTGTGGCTACATGGATTCCTTTTGTCAATTCATTAACATCATTATTTTTGATACTCAAATTGTCCCAAATTTGGCCACTGGGGGTCCCTTGTAGGTAGCTCCTGTGTCTTTCTGACACATCCCAGTTAGTGTTTAAACACTTCCTTGCTTTCTGGGACAAGCAGCTGTAAACTCACTGCCAAAGACTTGGAATCAGCTGTTTGTCCAAGGAGCCCTGGTTTCCTATATGTGCAGAATGACATTTAGAAAATAAGATCTGGGCACTAGATATGTACATTGCTTCTGGGACCATTTGTTTCTGGCCTAATGATTCTTAACTAGAGGTGCACATTTGGATTACTTGTACTTAATGAAAATACACCTACCTGGGCACCAGGTATATCTTGTCTCTATTGATGAATGTCCTTGTGGTCACACAATCTCCAAGCTAGAGAAAATGCAGTTGTTGACATTTGCATTCATTTAAATTAAAGTCACGTTTCAGTCCTGCCTTGTCCCGATTACTGAGATTCTTGATGAACATTTAGGCTATTCCCAGACTCCTCGGTAGCAGGGCACAACAGCTGTTTGGTTTACTCCAGCAGGTATCTAATTTCATCCATTTTGTGTGGGATGCATATAGGGCAACCTTATTTTCTTTGCCTTGGAGAGCATCTTTCTAACACTCATTGTGCAGGGTCCCCAATAGGCACTCTCAGCATGTACTGAGGACACTAATAAGGGAAGTGCTTAATAGGGTAGAGGAGGCCAACGAAAAGAGGAACATTTAAACCTCAGCTTTGATGAAATTACCCAGGATTTTACAATTAGATAATTTAGGAAGAAGCTTTTTTAATTTCAACATGGATATAAGTTTTGAGGTTTACAGATTGTTTTTGTTTTCCTTATTATAATTACATCTTGTGCCTAGAGCCTCTCAAGGTCTTACTCCTGCATCTGGCTGCACACACCCCTCCCTTCTCAGTAACAGATTCTTGAAAGTGAGGAGCCGACTTTGAAGGCTTCAACTCATTTCTCCTGTAGAGTGGTGATAATTATGCAGGTCTTGTCTGTAAGAGATTTAGAAAGGAAGTCAAGCTGCCTAGGGCAGTGATTCTTAATCTTTTGAGGTAGGATGGGATAATTATAGATTCCATTGAAAATCCAATGAAAACCAAAGACCTTCTCCTCAAAAAAATTCACAAAAACACTTATCACAAATGTTCCATTTAATTTCAGTGGGCCCAAGGCTCCCTAGGAGCTGGGTTAAGAACCCTTAGCCTAGAGCCTGAGTGAACTGACCATTCTTCTGCCCACCAGATGGGAGCTCGGAATGTCTGAGCTCAGCAGAGCAGATGGAGTCGGAGGACATGCTGAGCGCCTTAGGCTGGAGCAGAGAAGACAGGCCAAGGCAGAACTCCAAAACTGCAAACAACGCCTTCCCTACCCTGTCCCCCATGGTTGTCATGAAGAATGTGCTGGTCAAACAGGTGAGGTGGACTAATATCTCCTAAAGTCTTTGCAAATGAAAGTGTCTGAATTTCCTGTGTACAAAGACTCTCCCTCTACCAAGAAGAGATTTTAGAAACGGACCGCTAGAAAGAACCACTCTAAAAGTGTACTTTCTGTCCTGGGGAGAGGATGTTACCTTTCAACCACTGACACTGTTTTGAAAAGCTATACAAGAATTATGATGTGGGTTCTTACTTTTGAGACAGACTATTTTATTTCTGTATTCGTCGTAGTTTGTCCAAAGGGACCCTGAACTACTTTAGTCATATATAAAGGAACTAAGCAGAAATGTCATCACTTCAGTGGTGTATTCTAACACACGGCAGAGTTTAGGGTAGAGACAAAAGAATCTCTTTGTGATTTGAATTGCCCTGGGAATTTAGAAATGCAGAATGCATTTATTTGTTTTACAAATAGAGGCAATTTCCATGTTTCTTATATCATTCTGAGCATTTTGTTAGTAATCAGCCAGGGCTATGTCATTAGTGACAAAGCAGCTCTTTTGTTTAGGTATGGCTTTACCCACAGAGTCCACACAGCATTGTTGCAGAGTTGAAAAATATCCTGTTTGGGGCTATATTACATTACTATACATATTATGTGATTATTTTCTACATATGAAAGAAAAGATTTATATGAAAATCTAAGTTAAGCCCCAGTGTTTGAAGCTGAGAACTCAATTATGAAACTTGGTCAAGTTAGAATAGAGAAGCCTGAGAAACAGAAATGATTGATTTAAGCCAAAGAAATTTAACCTTACCCTACCTTAATCTGAAAATAAATCACAGTTCCCACATGGGTCCATTAATGAGGCCACTTGAAGATAATGACATTTGAAATCTGGCTGTCGTGGTTGACCTTCCCACCGTAGGTCAAAGGTTAGAAGAACATGGCTGGAACCTGAGAGGAGACCTTAATGTCTTAACTATTATCTAGTTATTTCTGAAGAACACAAACTGATTTTCAACAAGGTAGGCTAGTGAGTTCTGAAAAAGAATTTTTGCTTGTTGAATCACATCTCCGCTAGAAGCACAGCTCTTCTTATTGAAATGAAGAGAGAGAATGAAGACAGGAAATGGAGCCCAAATGACATTGTCCTGACCCCACCGATGCTGCCCAGTGCTGCTCCTGAGCCTCCTTTCTCCTGGCTCTTTTTGTCCCTGCCTTTTTCTCTGGCTTCCCTGTCACTCTTTCTTGTGCGCCTGTATTTATATCCCTTCTTTGTTGTAGGGTAGGCTGGCAGCTCTAGAAGGCTGAGAGCAGCCCTCAGTTAAGGAGTGAGTAGGCTTTTCTAGCACAGTTGCATTCTTCAGGACAGAGACCCGCTGGGAAGGCTGCTGGGCTTGATCAGGAAATAGGAGACTTGGGGACAGGCTGACCTTCTGCAGTAGTCTATGAGTTTTGTTTTGTTTTTTGAAACATGGTAGAATCCAGCACATTATAAAATTAATAAAATAATAATATACTTTTTAAAACCTCTGCATGTTGTGTAATGTCTTGATTATTGCTGCTTGGTTTTAGGTATTTTTCTTTTGGGGGGGTCTGACTTCATTTCTTTTTTTTTTTTTTTTTGTCCTTTTTGAGACCGGCCGCACCGCGCTCAGCCAGTGAGCGCTGTGAGCGAACGGGTCATCCCTATATAGGATCCGAACCCGTGGCAGGAGCGCTGCTGCGCTCCCAGCGCTGCACTCGCCCGAGTGCGCCACGGGCTCAGCCCCTGACTTCATTTCTGCCCCTAGACAGTGTGATCTTGCATAGGGGCCAAGGGAATACTTCCCCTTTACCCCTTGAAGGTTCACTGAAAGTGGACTGACAGGCAGATTAATAGAAGAAAGGGCATAACAAATTTTATTTTAACATGCTTAGCAGTGGTGGGGGATGGATTATGCGGAGGGAAATCACAGGACAGTGATTGCCCAATATCCCAATGGCTACAGAAGCTTATATACTTTTCTTCATTGGGGTGGGGGGTGTAGGAGTAAATGATGTTCAGGGGAAATCAATGAACCCAAAGAACAATGGCCTGGGACCAAGTTTTTCTGAACTCTGGGGCAGGGAGCATCACAGGTGAAGCGTGGAAAGCAAGTCAGGCAAAGGCTGGCTTGTTATGCAGATGAAAGTATTTCAGGTGATTGCCAGAGCTGCACTCAGAAAGAACAGACGTAGACAAGGGAGGGGGACCTCAGAGAAAGCCTGGCTGTTTACTTCACCAATGCACATTTTTTTCTACACATGCAGATATCCTCCACAAAAGGCAGCTTTTTAGCCGTTCTTATTTTTCTAGTCCCTCTGAAGAGCTCTCTTTAAATATGTCAAAGAAATATATTTTGGGCTGAAATATTTTGCTTTCCTTCACTTGCACACAATTAATTAACCACCATGGACTTCATTTTCTTCATCTTTAACATGAAGGCTTTATGTGAAATGATTCTTGAGATCCTGTCCAAGTCTAAAGTTTTATTCCGTATTTCCTCAGATGATTTCAACACAAATAATACAATTTGTAAAATCTAATAATTGGAACAAATAAGCTAAGTATCTGTTTAGGACAGTGGGCAGAACAGCACCATTAGAAAGAACAGTCCGGTAAAATGATCTTGGGAAAGCAACACATTAGATATTTTCTGCATCCATTTGCCTTGTAGGTCAACCCTTAGGGCATGGTCAATTTGGGAGATAGCCTGAAGTTTTGTTTCTGACTGAGCTGGACTAGGCTGATCTCTACTTTGAAAGACCCCTGATCTTGGATCTTCTCTGACAGGGAAATGTGGTTTCTGGGCCTAGCATTGCTTGCCTTCATACATACAGAGTATATCTGAACACCAAGAGGGCTGCAGAATGGACTCTCCAGATTATCCCTGCCTTTGCACAGGAGATGAATTATAGTTGGCCTAAAGTTCCTAGCCTGGCATCCAAGAAACAAATGTGTGCAAAATGGTGTGCGTGCAAACATGTGGGAAGATAGTCCATGTGTTCTTCAGATAAATCAAATGTCCCCACACGACCCCACTAAGCATGAGCACTTCTGTCAGGCTTGCTCTCTGCCTAGCTTCACCTACACTCGTGTCTTTGGGACTGGGTTGGAACTGGACAGGCTTTCAAATGTTGAAGACAAGTAGCCATGTCCTGCCTTTTTAGATTTCATCTGAATCAGTATTTTAATTAAAAATAAAAATGTGTAATTGAGGAGTAATATAACAAAGGCAGTATAGCAGAGTGGTTAGGATGGGTTTTAGAGTGAGAGGATGAAATTCTAGCTGTAGCACTTAGTACTTGATGACTTAAAGCAAGTTATTTCAGCTTTATAAGCCTCACTTTCCTATTATGAAGGGAATTATAACTACCTCATGGGTTTGTTGTGGGGATTAGGTGGGATAACCCATGTAAAATATCACGCACAGTGCCAGACTGTGGTAAGCAGCACTACATGGTAGCTGTTATTACTGTATTTTGAATGGTTTTATGATTGTTAGGTGTCACTGCCTTAAAAACAGGGGCCTGTAGACTCCTGACAATATGTAACTTTCTAATCATAAGTTGTTTTCAAGTAAAGAGAGGTTCCGATTATAACTAAATGAAGATAAACTTTTATGTAAAGTCACATTCGTAGTCTTGAGATTAGCATGTTTTAACTATGCCCAGAAATTGTACTGTCCATATTTTTATTTCCTCAGTTGAGACCTTAACTATGTCATTACTTCACCTACCTATAATTTCTTTTTCTGAGTGATAGCACTTGAATAAAAATAGATATTTTCTCCAGTTTTCCCTTAGGAAAAGTTAAAAAAGAATTTGTGATATCAGACACAAGTGGATTTTCAAACCCCTTTTCCAGTCATGTTCTTGATAAGGGGCACTCTGGATGTGAGGAAATCTCTGTCCTTGAAATGGTTACACATAGCTGAGTATCTGCCTTGGCCCTTTGGCAGAAGTGTCACTCATCTGTCCTTTCAGCAGGTAACGAGTAGTATGCTGCTCTCTTCCTTTGTTTTCAGGGCAGCAGCTCATCCCAGCTGCAGTCATGGACTGTCCAGCCCTCCTTTGAAGTGATCTCAGCACAGCCACAGCTCTTATTCCTTCATCCACCTGTACCATCTCCTGTCAGCCCCTGTCATGCGGGCGAGAAAAAGTCAGATGCCAGGAACTACCTGCCCATTCTAAATTCTTACACCAAAATAGCCCCACACCCAGGCAAAAGGGGCCTTTCCCTCAGCCCAGAAGAAAGAGGAGCAAGTGGAATGCAAAAGAAAACCTGCACTGAGAGACTTGGGCCAAGCTTGTCTTCCAGTGAGCCAACTAAGACCGGTGCTGTACCATCCAGACCCTCGACTGCAGCACCACCCGGTGCCAAACTTGCCGAGGACTCAGCTCTGCAGGGTGTGCCCTCCCTAGTGGCAGGGGGAAGTCCACAGACTCTTCAGCCAGTATCCAGCAGCCACGTGGCTAAAGCGCCCAGTCTGACCTTTGCTTCCCCCGCTAGTCCTGTCTGTGCCTCAGACAGTACTCTGCACGGGTTAGAGAGCAACTCTCCCCTCTCACCACTGTCAGCTAATCATAAGTCACCCTTATGGGCAGCAGAGCACCTCTGCCACAGCCCAGATTCCTTTTCAGAGCAGCGCCAGAGCAAGCATAGGCGCTTTCAGAATACCCTGGTAGTGCTACACAAATCCGGTTTGCTGGAGATCACTTTGAAAACCAAGGAGTTGATTCGTCAGAACCAGGCGACTCAGGTGGAACTAGACCAGCTAAAGGAGCAAACCCAGTTGTTCATAGAGGCCACCAAGAGCAGGGCTCCTCAGGCTTGGGCCAAGCTGCAGGCATCTTTAACATCTGGGTCCAGTCATACTGGCAGTGACCTAGAAGCATTCTCTGATCACCCAGACATATAGCACAGAAGGTATATTTTCCTGTTACTTGAGTAGTTCTTTGAAATATTTTACTGTTACCTATTTCTGTTTCCTAAAGTTTATGTAAGAGCTTTTCCTTTTAAACCTCTACTGTTTAGCAGTTCACTTATAAAGCCACGTGCCAGTAGCTGGCTGCTGTCTCAACCTGTGGTCTGTGCACAGGTTATGCATTTCTCGGTTCCACTGAGGACCTCTGATTCAGAGTGTCCTTGAGTTCCTCTTCCTTAGCTTGCAGGCTCTCCGATGGGTCATGGGGCAAAGCAGGAAAGGTGACTGTGGGGGGCTTTTCTAGCTGCCACCTCCCATGTCCCACTCACCGGGATCAAGGGTGCAATAATACAGATGAGCGTACAGAGTGACACCTGTTGAGCCAGGGAGTACGTGACATAAGGATCCCTTCCCCTGAGTATCTTAGAAAAACAGAGGAGGTGTGTTTGCATTCTACAAGGCATTGTGCCAGTTGGGTGAAACATAAAATGCCCTGGGCACAGGTTGTGCCTGATTGTAAGCACTTAATCACTTAAAGCTTTCTTTTCTTAAACTTGAAAGTTAAGGGAAAAGGGTAAGACCATTTGACTCATACACTTTAATCACAAGCCAGATTTCACTTAAATGAATTAGGCAAAATGAGATTTTTAAGGTATAGCATGGATTCAGTATTCTTTGGAATTGTAGTTGACGAAAATCCTTTTTTTACTTAGAGACTGAAGAAAATAGACATGGCCAGTATCTCTTGGCCAGAGGCCAGAAGATTCTGGTAACTTATGCTTTTTTTTCTCTCTTGAAACAGTTCAACCTGTTTTATGTCTAAAAACCTTAAGGATAGCTTCAGTGGTTCCTGAGGGTGCAGTATAAGTCAACCCTCTGCAGCCACCCTGGGCTCCCCGCCCCTCTTGTTTTCATAAAAGAGGAAAGAAGTGATTATTAGGCTTGATAAACTTTGAATTAAATGAAATCATCCTGAGATTGTGATAAGTTCACAAAGAATTAGAAAACATTCTTATCCATTTTCTTTTCACATCCCAAGTTTTCATTTTTCCCATGTTATGGTGACAGGGAACGATTATGGAGCACAGTCCTCTGTGTTTCTTTCACGTGTTGGATATTGGCAACAAATCCAAAGGTGTAACGTTGGTTATATGAAGTTCATCTCAAAATGGAGAATGTGATGAGAGTTTCCAGATGATACACATTCGTTTCAGCTTCATTGTATCAGTAACTAGATTTCGAAGTAGTAAATTTTTTTAAAAATTTATCTTATTTAAAAATTTCATTCTCTTGAAAATCTTTGTTTTACAAATTACCTAAATAATAAGTCCCATGTGACTGAATTTATCTTTTAAATATTCTTGAAGTTTTACCAGGACCAGAAGTTAGTGATCATAATTACTAGGTAACTGTAACTCTAACAAACTTTAAAAATTGTCAGGCATCAGATTGCCTGTACTTTGTTCACAAACTTGTATGATTTAGATATGACCAGTTTAAAAATAAACAACTTGGTATAATCGCTAGACTCTTCTGATCAACACAGAATTATTACTTGCCATTTGCTTTCTGAAAGAATTCAAAAAATTAGAGCTAAAAGCAGGCTCAGCTCCCTTAATATTTTTCTTTTGGCCCACTCTCTTTGCCTCCCCTGAATCTGTATGGTGCGATCGCAGCTCTACTCTGTGCACCATGCTAGGAAGCTTCCTTTTTAGCAGGATATGTTTGGCAGCAAGCTATAGAGACAGGTGCATTCAGAACAGCCTGGGCACCAGTTATGAGTCTTACTGAGTGTCAAAAATCTGGAAACACTTGCTGAGAACCAAACTCATTCCATTGGAAAAACCCTCTGTAGAGCTATAAGCCTCTTGGACTCTTCTTCCTAGATTAAGGTTTGCATTTCTCTTCCCATCATGGTAAAAAATGTTGAAAGCCATCATCGGTCCTCACTGCTGAGTGGCAGGGAGAAGCAGCACCACCCCCGGCTCTTTGATCTTGTCACAGTGCTGAAAGTCTCTTTAGGCCATTAGCATGGGTGTTCTTTCCCCTGTGGAGCTGAGGGCAGATGAACCCAAACAGAGAAGCTGGATCTTGGAAGCAGAGACCCATTGAGGCCAGCAGACATTTGTGGCCAGAAGCCAGATCAGCAAGTGGAGGAACCTCAGAGTTGACCAGCAAGATCTCCGTTGGTTGTGCAAGGCTGTAAGTAGCAAGGATCTTACTGATGCATGATGTAACTTGGTATGGAGTACTGTGGCAGAGCTACTACCGCTTTCTGAAAGTGAGAAGCCATTTTTAGCTCAGAACATCCCTTAAGAGAACTTTTGACAGATTTTATTGGCAAAATTGAAACATATCTAGAAAAAGTTGCTGATTGCTTATGGGAATGGAGTTTAATGACGTTTGTAATTTATTACACACTCATTGCTTTTTATTGATTATAGTATTATTTGAGTTTTCTTCTCTACTATGATTTCTTCAGCAGAAAAGTAAATCTCGTGCATATATTGAAGTGGTTTTCCAGCGATGAATTCTTCAGGGTAGAAATTTATTTACTAAATGTGAATTCGTTTGAGAAAGTATGAAGTTTTGTAGAAATTGACTGTGAAATGTCAGAGAAAAATAAAAGTCACTTACTTGAAAACTATTTGGCCTTTTTGCTTTATAACTGCTTAAAAATACTAAGTGAAATCTAGAGCAAATATTTGAATTGGTTTAAGTTTCAAACATAGGTACTCATGTCTTTTGGGAATATTGGGGTTAGCTACGGAACTTGTAGAAATTCATTGTTCAGATTTTCACTGGTGTGAACTTAAAAGGAAATAAATGCAGACAGTCTCAAGACAAATGAGTAGCCCACAGTTCTGTAGAGTCTTGGAGGTTTATGCTGGATAGATTGGGAAGAGTGTGAGGAGAATACAGTACAGTGATTTCTTCCATCTGATCTGATGCTTTCAAATGACAAACTACTACAGCTGTATACTGGACTAAACTAAAGCCACACTAAGTGAAGTTCTTTGTACAACAGAGAGGTCCTTAGCCTGTACATCTCCAGGCCTTCCTCCATGCTTCCTAAGCTCTGCTCCTCCTCAAGGTTCACCTAGACAATCTCCACAGGGAGACATAAGGAGTCCGACCTGCTTCCCATGCCAATCAGGACCCCTTCCCAGGATTTTTAAGACATTGGAAAAACAAAAAATTTATTCTCATTAAAAGGCCTGGAGGTTGTCACAGTGTAATTCTTATAACATTATTTCTCTCCTACACAATTGTCTAAGTGAGTTTTAAAAATATGGCCGTAAGACCACAAAAATGAAATAAAAATGGGTAAAGATGGCTAGAGAAGGCCAACCCTGAAAAGAGTCTTTCCTTAAGAAGTGGAATCCAGAGAAGTGTGAGAGCACAAAAAGTAGATCACTCAAGGCTTAGGAGAGCCCGGTGATTTGAGTTTGTAGCTCTACACCCGATGGCCTGATTCCTGGGTATGGAAATTCTTGCCCATCTGGGACTGCCTGTTTGCAAATATGTCTGTTTAATCCACATCTTTTATGGCATCATCACAGATTGCAGCCGGGTGCGGTGGGGTCTAAAGACCTGCATCCATGTGTCAGATCTATTACTCATTAACTGGGTGACGTTGGATAAATCACTTAACCTTTCTCGATGTCACTCCTCTCAGCTGAATAGTAAAGAATTTGACCTAGTCATCTCTAAGGTTCTTCCCAGTGCTGACCTTTTGTAAGATCTATAGCTATGTTACAGGTCAGCCATAAAATTAATAGACTAAATTTAAAAAGAAACCTGGGGTACTTAGAAAAGAGGTTCCTAGTGCTCTGGCAGATGATTTTATATTACAATGTTCTGTCGGATTTGCAACTTCTTATATGTAACTTGGAGAAGCATTTTGCCGGTCTGCGTTGTTCTGTCTTTCTTATTACCTGGTTGTAGCTAGCATGGATTCACTAATTCCCATTAAAAACAACAAGAAAAACTGCTCTCAAACAAAGAATTCTTATTAGCCCAAAAGGAGAATAATTGGGGTTAAGTCAAATCATGTCCTTTCCCAGTCAGCCATCTGTAAAGAGCCCTTTCCTTTCATTTGAGATGAAGGACGTACTGTTTAATATTTTGGAGAGTATGTCAGTTAGCTTTTTATTTCCTTTCAGACTTCTCTCCCCAAAGCGGGGATGATGTTTCTGCATGTGTTATAAGGAGTCTGTTGGGTTGATTTAACATTATTTTCACTGTCAATGGTCAGAGACTGCATAGATGCGGTGGTACTTTGTGAAGTCTTTATTCTGGTCCTAGCCTTTGGTGCCACCTTTCATCCACACCGGAAGAGAGATAGAGAAGAGGTCTGCCTGGGTGATGAAGCATGGTCAGAATCGCTGAGAGAAAGAGGCAGCAAGAAGCAATGATGTGTCCTGCTCTGTCACTCTTTATCTCTGTTTCCTTTGTCAAAAGAGGAGGGAAGTAGTCTTGCTGTACACTTGACATCCTGAGATTATGGTGCAGTGCAAAAAAAGGATGTCTCGAAAGTGTTTTAAAATGACTCTACAGAGCAAGGCAGTCTCCCTGCACACAAACCCAGAGATGGAATTCATGTGATGGTATTCAGCCTCTTAAGGGTTGTTTGTTGCTTGGCATAATTAAGACTGTCTTCTCCAAAAACCTCATTTGCTTTATTCCCATTAGCTGTAAATATCAACCCAGGGCGTTTATTCTTTCACTGGCTTCCTGAAAGGAGCTGTTTTGTGGATTCACATGTGACTACTTTGGCCTCTTCCTCTCAGATCCCTCTTTCCTTCTTAGAACACGTGGCTTTCCTGTCTCTTTCTGAAGGATGGTTATGCAAGACATTAGAGAATTGCTTGAAAGAACAGTCTGTGTGATTCTTGCTTCAAATTACAGCAGCTGGAGATGGGTAAGAAAGCGAGAAAAGCCCATGGAGTATGAAGTTAACACAGCGAGTGGGTGGAAGGTGTTAGGAAATGAAAGGGAATGAAAACCGAAAGTAGGATCCCGAGGCCAGCCTGCGTGAGGGCCCTAGTCAGGTAGAATGATTAGAGTTTGCATGAGGGCTTCAGAGTGGCTCGAGAGCACGAGAGTAAAAATAGCTGCCTTTAATTGTCCTAAAGACTCACTTTATCTCAGGAATTGCAGTGGAAGGGTGCACATTCATTCTGGTCAATGCCTTCATACACAACAGATGAGAGGCAGGGCCTCTGTTCTCTGGGAACAGCCCACAAGCTTTGCCCACTCGCTGGGCAGATGGGAGTGCTTGGCCCAGAGCCTGCCCTTCATTTGGGGGTGAGAGTGGAAAACCAGAAGCCCTGGAAAATCAGGATCTGCTACTATTCATGGGTGGTAAGCCATAATAACATCTCTACAGAGGCTGGGTTGAAATCGCCATCTCCACTCACCCCTCATACAAATGAATACATTGCCCCAAAATCAGGGCAAGAGAAGAAGCTTCAGGAAGTTACACACAAATAGAACCCGGCACCCTCAACAGGTCCTGCATCATCTTTAAAACATGCAGGAAAACCTGGCTCCTGAGGCCTGGTGATCCTCCTGGTGAGCGTTTAATTCTGATTCCCCTCTGTTCTCCAGCAAGGCTTCCGGCCCTCTCCTCACTTGTCACTGGGCAGCTCAGGAAACGCAGACAAGTGTCCACCTAAGCAAAACACACAGAGGAAGGACAGTGAGCTGCCACAACAAACAGCCGAGGGTGCCCGCAGCCTGACCACACAGTAACAGGCATACTTTACACAGTATGTTTTTAGTAGTGGCTCCCTGCACTCCAGCAGGCCAAGAGGGCCAAGATAACTTTAAGGTGAAGGTCAATTGTTAAAGGATCTCCAAGTCGACACTGCCTAATCAAGGTGTGTTTACAAGTATTGTGCTTTCCAGCCTGTGCTGATTTTATTCTGGAAGCATTTTATAAGAATCAGTTGTGCTATGAAGCTCCTAGCTAGTAAATTACTAATGTTGCTGGTTGTACTAGTCAGGTTGGACTGCAGTGAAGATGTCACTTCTCAGCCTATGGTCAGGAATGGCCTCCTGGCCCCGCCAACTGCAGGGGGATGAGAAAATGTGGGAGAGCATGTACTAAATGGTAAATGTCTCTGCCACACTGATTTTTTTTTTTAATCAAGGGAAAAAAGTGCTTGGGACCCACAGGGTTGGAGATGAGCAGGCACCAGACAGCATAGGTCAGCCCCAGGGTATGGCGCACTTTGGTGACCTTTAGAAATCTTCAGACATGTGGTCCACGTCACTCAATTTTTCACCTCTCCCCACCCCCCAACCCCAATTTGTATTCTAAAACCCTGATCATTTCCACTTCTGAAAGTTGTAATGATTCCCAAAGCTTACCTGTGAAGCATTGTCCTTATTTCTTCAGGGTAACAAGTACGTTCAACTGTCAACACATTATTTTTCCAGGTGCTGACCTAGCTATAGGGTGTAAAATGGTGACTGAGACAGACATGGTCCCTGCTTCTAGACAGCAATGGTCATCAGTTAGTCAAATGGCCCCTTTGATAGTGTAGGAGCAGAAAAGGTGTGATACCTTTGCTCTCTATCATAAGGGTCACAGCCACCACTCCTATGACAGAAGACAGGTTAACAAGAGAAAAACATAATAGATTGACTTAGTCAAAGATTTATGTGACAGGGGAACCCTCAGAAATGCAGACCCAAAGACTCAGGGAAAACTTTTAATGCTTGGGTCTGGTGAAGACTAAAACAGCTGTGTAGAAATGTAACTGGACAAAAGGGTGTGATCGAGTGGTGGTAGACTGAGGGGGAACCCAGCAAGTCCTGTCTGTTTGGATTCTTCTTAGCCTCTCTGTGTGGCATTCCTCCCCACCCCCTCCAGCCCCCGAAAATAGTGCTGGACCCCTTCTGAAATGAGGGCCTTATGATCTATCAGACAAGGTGGGTCAGAAAATTTCTTTATGCCAGCTCCTACACAGAAAGGCAATTCTAGTTTCTATGCCCTGCCTTGGGGAAGAAAGGGGAGTGGGAGACATCAGGGCAGGAGAAGCCCAGAGAGAGAGAGAGTGTTTCTGAGGCCTTCCACTCTCCTTTAAAGTACTCAGCATGCCAAAGCACCATACTTGGGGGTACTGTTTTGAGCCCCCAAATCAACAATGGTCTGGGTCTCACTAGGTCTTATATATCCAAAGTTAGTTGTGTAAGCCTGGGCAAGGTGATGTGTCCTCCTCATTTCTACTTTCATTTCAGAGATCAATGCTTTGATAATTGGCTTTAGTTCCCTCTGATTAGGGCAAGAGTCTTTAATGTCAAACTATTAAGTTGAGAACAGAAGTGTTATGATAGGCATATGTTGGGCTAGGGTTCACAGACCCTTCAAACGTATTGTGCACAGACTGGGTCGCAGGCCGCTCACATGTGGGTCACAAGCTAGGTAATTGGAAAAGATCCTGGGAGCAGTTGGCAAAGTTAACATGCTTCATTCAGATGTGAGCTCAGCCCCTGCCCCAGCAGCAGCTTACAGCAGATCCAGCAGCTACCTGATGACCTCCCAGGACCTCCTGGGGGCACCGTGGGTCAGAGCCGTTTGTCCTTTATACTTAAGTCAGATAACCCAGGGACACCTGGGTGGAGTCAAATAACCAA